TTTATCGATTAATACTTGAACTTCTTCCATTTTCTTTAGCTATTTAAGTTCAAGTAATATATTATTACCAGTTTCATCCTCATTTTCATGATTATCTTTAGGTAAAATATCTGCTTTCATCCAATAATTTTCAATTGTTTTATTTGTAACGTTATTCTATACTTGTGCAATATATTTTATACATTTTTTAATATTAATTTCAGAAGGTTCAATACGGTATTCATTAAATTTATCAAAGCTTTAACCTAATTTTATAAATAAAGCTTTCAATATTATGCCTAAAATAAGTTGAATTAGAATTAAATATAAATAAAGTTAATGTCAATTATATTTTAACTAAAAAATTATTAAATTAATTACATTTCTCACCTTAAAACTATTTATGATACCTTGATCACAAGATTGGAGGTATACAGTGATGTTTGAGAGGAGGATTGGATAGTGATATTGGTCAGATAGGTAGTTTCATAAAAAGCGTATGTTAGAGTATTGTTTACAAGAAGAATAATTTTCTGATTTTGTCTTTTATTTTTGTATTGAGTTTTTTTATTGTATCCTGAATAAGCTATAAATAAAAATTAAAAGAAATTTTGATTGACTTTTGTAAGTTATCTGGCCCTATTTTGAGGAAAATTTACACAAATCATTTGTAAAGTATTGTGATGATATGAAAATTTTCACAAAAGTATTATTTATATTTTAACACTGTTTCAGATATTTTTTTTAATTAATTATAGTTAACATTTTCTTTAAATATTTATAATATTTGATATTAAATTTATAGATTATAACTTGCATTACGAACAATGCTTTAAATAACAATACTTTTATGAAAACATTAAAAAAATCTTATAAAGATTAAAATATTGATTTATAAATATAATAATCACATTAATATTTAGTATTCATCATTAATCTTGCAACACAGAATGCATTTTCAACTTTAAAAGTTAGATATGTGAAAAATGAAAATGAATTATTGAATAATAATGAAGTAGCTGAAGTTATTCCTAAAGTCAGTATTCAATATATTTAATAAATTATTTTTACAAAATTAATCTGAAAAATGTATTGTATTTTAGCTTAGAAAACGTATTGTTAAGATATATACATCTTTGCAAAGGTAAGAAAAGTTTTCACATCAGTATAAGACTGCTTATTTATCTAATAAAGAGCTTATGATTAACATTAAGATTAGGTAAAACTTGACCTTTAAAATGATTTGAACAGAGCTGTGAACTGCGTGAAGTAAATTTTATTACACAAAAATTTACAAGTAAGTTTTTAATTTTTTTATTTATTTTATCAAAGGTATTGGATAATATAGCAATAGTAAACAGAGATTTATAACGATGAGAATTATTTGATGCTAAATGATATTTACTTAAACAAATAAAAAAATTATTATATGTAATAAACTAATTATTTATTATTTAAATTTGCACAATTTTTTTTATTCTTTATTAACTTTAATTTATCATACATATTATAGATATTTTTGTGTATTACACTTTATATTTTCTATAAACAATATCCTACTATTGAAAATTCAATACCAATTTTCAATTAGCTTATGAATAAAATCAAAGATTTTAATAAAGAAGCAGACATCAATGAGATTGTAAAACAAGCAACTCATAATGCAATGAAAAAACTAAAAAAATACTATCAATACAGTCAACTCTTAATATAATGAACTCTTGATATAACGAATTTTTTGAACAAATATAATAAAAATACTTTTATTATAGTGAATTGGCCAATCAAATCTCTTAAAATCTTCACTATAACCTTATAGTGAAGTTGAAGTCTAGAACATAGAGTTTGTTATAATAAGAGTTGACTGTATACTAATGTAATAATATATATCATCTCTACTAGTATACTTTAAAATTTTTATTATTTTATTATAGATTTTATATTTTATTTATATTAATTAATTTTATTTTTTTTTGTTATTATTATTAGTTCTTAATTCTTAGTTAAAACTCATATATTATAGGGATTATAATTAGGAAGAAGAGTATATCACGGAAGTATAAGATAGTATTAAGAATTTATATGATACAATATACACACTAAGGTTAGATTAAAATATTCAAGATGAAGATCTTACAATAGATGATGATCTTTTTAGTCATATATATAAAAAATAGTATATATCAAGAAATGAAAATGAATTAAATTTATATTTAGAAAGTCCAGTTATTCCTAATGAAATAGATTTATTAAAATGGTAGAAGGTATGCTAATTAAATAATTTCATAAATAAATTTTACAATTTAAATTTCTTAAATCATTTTACAATTTTAATAACAAGTAAACGAATCTTAATATCTATATACCTGGTAGCAATAGCTTATGATTATCTTGTGATCTCTAGTAAGTAGTAATAATATATTATTTGAAATTTAAAACTTTCATTGTAAAAATTAATTTTAAATTTATTTTAGCAACTAGTACACTAATCGAAAAAGCTTTTTCAGGTAGTACTGATCTTATAAGTCAAAAGAGATGTAGTCTCTCATCTGAAATAATCTGTGCTTATATGTGTTTGAAGTCTTAGTAGAAAACGGAATTAAAAAAATAATTTCAATTTATTTTTTATTTTTTTTATATAACAGATGATCTATATGATTAATAAGTTGATTAATATGTATATATATAAAATAAATAAAAAATTGTAGGTATAAAATTGATATAACATAAATAAAATTATAAAATGTATAAGTTTAACCTGAGTTAGACTCAACTTGACTTGTATTTCTAAGTTAAATATGAGTTACTTTTTAATTCAATTTGACTCAACTCGTTTAAAATTCTAGAAAATTATTAATTTTCAACTGTTTAAGGCTCAAAAAACTAAAGATTTTAAAACTATAACTTTTATTATATATTACCTATATTATCATTATAATGGATTATTTTCTTTATAATATGTAAAACAAAAGTTTTAGGATTTTGAAGTTAGACGATTTTATTTTTATTTATAGATAATCTGCACTATATCATGATAAATATTATAAAGAATTTTATTGAGCAAAATTAGAATATTTAGAATACTTAATAGATCTACTGGTTTAAATTACATTTTGAGTTTAGTTATCAGCAAAATTATATCTAGTTGAGGCTTAAAAAAAGTCCTTTGAATTTAAATAGTATAGCAATAAAAATAGTTTTATTTAGATTTTGTTTTAACTAGGTAGGGAAGATTAACATGCTATTTGCAATTAGTTTTTTGAGATTTTAAAGATCTGGTTTAATTTTTCTTATTTTATTAGTATGTATTTCTTGACAATTTCATAAAATTATTTGTTTCTAACGTTCATTTTGCAATTTTTCTGATTTTTTTTTTCAAAAAACTTTGTTGGAGTGGTTACTGTTTAATGTAATCAAAAGCAGACTTTTAGGTAAAAAATGTTACATTATCTTTTAATATTGGAGGTAAAGAACTTGAATCAGAATTGTTTTTTGAATTTTTTGAATAGTATTCTATATCTGTAATCATTATCCTCTAGAATATAGTCAAGTAAAATGAATTTTTGGGAAAATATTCTGTATCAGAATTATCATAAGATAGAGTATCTGTATAATTCAATTTTATTATATAAAGAGTTTAGAGAAGAGAAAAGAGGAAACAATATGTATAAAATACTTAATAATTACCATAGATATCATGTGTTGCATGTCATGTAAAACTAAAAAGTCTAATTTATAAAATAAAGTCTAAATTACTGTATAAAAAATCGCGTCTCATACACACTAAAATGATATGTATAGAATTCATAATGCAAATTCCTTTCTTTTTTTAATAAATTTGTTTATTTATTATTAATATTTTAACCAAATATATTTATATATAAATGAATAACTAGATATTTGATTGATTATTATTAATGATAGTAATGAACTATAAAATTGACAAATATATATAAATGTTCATATTTGTTAAAAATTATAAAATAAATATCTCTTGTGGGTTATCTTATCTATCTTCTATTGCTTGTTCTATTTTATATATTTATTAAAATAATATTTGAAAAGATTGCTAGAAAAAAATCAGATTCTGAAATTTTTTAATAAATTCAGATTTTTTTTACATTTTTGTTTAATGTTATTAAGTTTAAAAAATCATGATTTTTCTAAAAAATATGTAAATATATATTTTTTATATTATATTTATTTTATATATTAAATAAATTAACTTAATAACAATCTAAACTTAACATAAAATCTTATTTCACTAATCTCTTAACCCTAACCCTAATTCAATATTCTTAGTATTGTTTTGTTATCCTAAATCCATATTCTTATTTTTTAATTTATTTAACCTCTTATTTTATAATTAATAATTTCAAAATTTATAGCGAGTATATTATAAAATTCTGTTCATTGAATGGGTTAATAAATTTGTGAATTAATAAAATGAAAGTTGAATATTTTAAGTTTCTTTAAGTTTTTTTTATTTAGATTAAATCTTTTATTATATAATGATTATTTCAAAAGTCATCCTAAACGAATAGTTGTTTTCTTTTTTTAACCCGTTTTTCCGCTCTAAACGTTAAAGTTGCCTACCCATTGAAGTGTAAACTTTGCTTTCGTTGAAATCGTTTTTCAACTTTAAAATGACACGAAAATTGTTATTAAATTAGCTTTTTTCATCTTAAATTGAAATAATTTTATATATTTGGTTATGTTACTTAAAATCTTTTTTTTTTTTTTTAATGTGAGCATTGCAAAGTTTTCGGTGCATCTGAAATTTTAAAAAAACAATCTTCATTTTCATAAAATGTATTTCAAACTCTTGAAAGTGAGTTGTTATTGATGTATTGATTTGATGTGTATTATATCCGAAAGCAATTTTTAAACTTTATTTATAAGGTAATAAAGAACATACACAACAAATAATAAATAAAATACACACAAAAGGAAAAAATATTTTGTTGATAAAAATTATATAAATTAGAAAAAACATGTCGTTGAAATTGTTAAGCGATTAATTAATAGTTTTTATCGTTGACGTTGAGTTGTACATTATCTGAAACGTGATTATTAATAACATTTTCAATAAAATCTGAACCAGAAAAATAGTGTTGTGGTGGATTAACCGAATAATCCAAACGAACATTGCCTGGTTGAAGTTGATGTTGCACGTCTAAATTTGGTAAACAAGATGTAGGTTCGTATCCATTTACTGGAAAGGGAAAATTCTGTTCTTGACTTAATTGTGGTGGATTAACCGAATAAGAAGAATTATCCAAACGAACATTTCCTGGTTGAAGTTGATGTTGCACGTCTAAATTGGTTAAATTTTTCAATGGAGAAGGTGTAGATTCGTATCCATTTGCTGTAAAGGAATGATTCTGTTTTTGATTTAATTGTGGTGGAATAACCGAATAAGGAGAATCATCCAAACGAACATTGCCTGGTTGAATTTGATGTTGTACGTCTAAACCAGTTAAACTTGCCAATGAGGAAGATTTGGGGATTATAATAATTGTATAACCAGGAATTTCAACCGTTTGTATTTGGAGAGAGCTAGCATTACTCGACATAGGTGAATTAATTGAAGGTCTATTAAGTTGGGGAACAAATGTTGGTAGATTTTGTTCTAAAATCATCTGTTGTTCATTAGCATTATGACCGATAGATTGTGAATTGTAAGAGGTCAATTCATTTGCAAAAGAGGTCGTAGAATACTGTTTGTAATTACTAGTTGTGCTTGGCGCAGTTACTTTATGATTTTTATCACGTGTCGCGGAAAAGCCATCGTATGCAGCGTTTACACTGCAAAAAATATCTGATTCTAGCTGGGTTCCAAAAATTTCGTATCTTTCATAATTTTCTGTTGAGTTATTCATTTAAGAAGGATTTTTAATTTACGGAATAATAGATTCGTGAATTAATAAATGAAAAAGTTGGGATTTTTAAGAAATTCTTTTTTTTTTTCTTTGACAAAAATTTGCTCGGTTCTTATAAAAAAATTTTTTATATTCCTACGAAGTTTTTTTTTATATTGTATAGACAAGTATAAGAATTTAGAGTAATAGATAATGCAATAATCATATACATACACATAATTAAAAAAAATTTTTTTTTTAATTGTATTACCAAATTAAACGCCAATACGATATATTAATATATAACAGAAAGGCAGTGTGCAAATCAATTTCGCAGTAATTATAAATAGGCTAACTGTTAGAATCAAAAAATTCCACATTAAGACGATCTTCAATCAACTAACCTTATCATTATATATCATCTTTTATTAATGATTCAAATGAATTTTGTCAAATTGTACACTTAAATTCTTACCACCCTCCTCAGATTAGAAAGATAAAAAAAAAAAATCCTTCTATTATCGAACTGACCCTTTTCACAAAAAAAAAAAAAAAAACAAATTTCACTCATCGATCAAAAAAAATTCTTAAAATGCCCTCTAAATTGTTAAAATATTGTTATGTACACAATAAAAGAAATCGTTGGTATCGTCAAATTGAGTTAAAAAGAACCTACGAATATTGATTCCTCATTCATTTCATCAACCAAAATATAGAATCAAAAATTGACTCATTCGAGGATGGAAGCGTAATCTTATTACAAGGAAAACTCATTCCTTACGAAAACTATTACATCGTATGTCCTCACTCATTATAATACTAATCTTCTTGAAAAAAAAACCCATCATTCATCCCCATTTTTTTATTTGATAAGTTAACGCTACTTCAATTCAAATAATGAATTTGGAGTATGAAATGATTCCCGCTATAGGAATGAACATTATGATCACTGGATCCACCCAAACTGTCCGAACTGTTAATGGGGAATCAATCCTCGATTTTTATGTCGAAGAAAGAGTAGGAGACCAAGAACCCCACGATTTTTGGCTAGAAGCTAGGCATAAAGCAAACGACACCTACCTAGCAAATAAGTCTGCTATAAACCAATCAATCAAGTCAACCACTGCCATGCCTTAACCTACGATCTGCGCACCGTTGATCCCCAGATTTCAGTCCCGCAAAAAAATGTCCTTAGATTAGGTGACATATCCTTGATATCCACTACCGAACCCAATCCATAACCCTTCCATGGATGAACTCCCCATACAACAATGCTCAACGGAGCCCTAACAAAAATAATCGAACCAGAGGACCTACTCCTAAAAAACCCGAACTTCCTTAGCACAAATGCCTGCAACAACTCAAACCCTCTCAGAAACTTTACAAACTAACCCAATCCCAGCCTCTCTACTCCAGAACACTTCAACTCATTCCATCCAATTCGGCTCCAACAGATCCGACTCCAGCAACACCTCCAACTGATCAACGATCATAATCTCCGAATACGAAAGACTAAACCGCATTTCTAATACATATTTTCACATGACCCGCTCCTATCTTACATTTTTTTTTTTTTTTTACTACCAAACTACATACATACAAAAAAAGTGGGTACTAGAAAAAAAAAGAATACTAACTAGTTTAAAGGAAACATTAGCGGAATACAAGGTTAAGACAAACAGACGGTCGGTTATTTATACTTTAATAACTTTAGATTCTTGCGCTCCAAATTTTACAAAATATTCTAAATTATTGTTGTCTCTTTCATGTAACAGCTCGTTTTTTCCAACGCTTCAAGAAATAATAAATAAATCTTTTTGTGCACAGCTCTCTAAATAAAAAATTTTTTCTTTATTGTTTTTCAAGAAAGCGAGGTGTCACGTTGTTTCTTTTAGGTTAAAAATGTATTTATTTACAGTTTGAATTTGTCTGAATGCAAACTTAAACCTAAGTTATTGAACTTTAAAGGTTTAGGATTTTTTATTAGGAAAATCGTAATAAAAGTCGGCAAATAATTAGTTGACCGCACACCCCCAGCCGGACAATTAAATTAAAAAATTTTGTATATTAATTACCCATGGCGTTTGAGAAATATAACCGTTGTTCTTAAAATAAGGTTTAGGTTTAAAAAAAAGTACGATATAATTCAATTGAGGTCTAGGATAATAACCTAAAACCCAGAAGTCTAAGATCTTCACGCTCCATGGTGATAAGTTATTACTGTATTTTCTTGGTTATAAGATTAAATTAAATTTAAATGTAGCCGTGATGGGTCAGGTTCAAAAACTATAAAATATAAATTAATTTAACCTCGAATCTTTTCAAAACTATATTAAAATTTAAACTTCCTCAATTGTATGACAATCATCCATGGCCAATCTTGAAACGAAATAAGGAAAGAATTGCTATATATTTATATGGATCAAACGAAAGATCTTATAAAAAAAAGACACGGATTTTATTGTTAATGATGGTAATGAAATATAAAAATTGACAAACGTATATAAATGTTCATATTTGTTAAAAATTATAAAATAAAAATCTCTCGCGGGTTATCTTATCTATCTTCTATTGCTCCAGTAGGAATTTTGAATGGGTAAATCTAAAAAAAAAAAAAAAGAATTTTTTTTTAATATCGGGATAAAATCAAATCGTAAAATCAAAACTTACCATAAAATGGACTATAGATTTCACCATCCGTGAGTAACGTTATTTTAAAGTAATTCATTGCCTCTACAACACGCTCCTTTGAAAATTTAAATTCCTTTGTAATACAAAGTTCTTTAAAACTGCCTTTCCTTTTTGCATAATCGATAAAAACTTTTAATGAAATAATCGGATAACGTTCCAAACGATACAACTTGAGACATTCAAGTTTAAATTGAGATTCATCAAGTAACTTTTCCAAAGATTTATCAGAGACAGGAAGGTTAAATTCGAAGATTTTGAGAGAACAAGCGAGCACTTTAGGGAAACCGTTAAAAAGTTCAACGTGATTCAAGTTATTATTACGAATTATAGCGGTACTTAATTTCAAGTGAACTAATTGATACATGTTTCTTAATAATTCCAATAAATCCACTAATGAAATTGAATGCATTATCAGAACCAAATGAAAATGAGTTAAATTCGAAAAACATAACCCTTGAATTTCCTTAATATAAGGACAATAAGAATCTTCAACTTTAAGTGATTTCAACTTTTTCGCCGATAAAAGGATCTGTTTAAAGAGTGTAATGGAATTTGTATTATGAGAGGTAAAACAATCATAACTTAAATGTTCTAAACTATCCAAAGTAATCGTCGTAATTTCTCGTGAAACATCCCTATCAGAAGTGAGCGTGATCCTAAGTTCGAGCGTGATTAAATTTGGTAATGATTTTAACATGGATAATAGGTTTGAGGTGAATAAAATTGAACTTTCTAATTTAAAAACAGTTAAAGATTTCGAATGCTTTCGTAGGGCATTAAGAAAGGGTTCAAATTCATCCCTCCAAAATTCATGGGATAATAATAATGACTTTAACTGATTCTGAGATTGAATAAAGTTAATTAAATTTCTAGATAATTTAGGTTTGATCGAATTAATATGAAGAATTTGAAAGTGTTGAATATTTGGTGATAAAACATTTTGAAGCTTTAACACATATTCTGTGACAGGAGTCATCAAGTCCGTACCGTTATTATTGAATAATCCAATCGAAAATTTCTTAACGTTAACTAAACTATACTTATGATTCTGATGTTCACAAATATCAAGTATCGACCTTGGTCCACTTAATAAATCATTATAAAACAAGTTAAGAGTCTCATATTGACCCCCTTTGTTAAAAAATAAATCTCCAATATACTTGTTAATATAAACTACTCTTTTGCTGACCCTCCTTCCTCCGCTTAAAACTTGAGACTGACCATTTCGAGGCAGGTCATTTCCGCTTGAGAAATTTCTCGAAGTCCAAAATCTCATTGCTTTTTGCAAAGGATTCAATTCAAATTCTTTGATAAAAGTCTGATAATTAAAATAAGCCCTGGGTGTAGAAAGTTTCTCTATTTCAATTGATTTTCTAGACAACCATTTTTTATCTGATGGGTCAAGACATTGAATCAATGTGTTAAACATTTGAATTAATCTATCGTCATCTTTTTTAATTAATTTAAAAGGATTTTTCCAAAGGATCGGAATAAAAATTCGACAAAATGTTCTATTCACGCGGATGCACGAATATAAGGTTTCCATATCATCTTTTAAATAACTTATGATCAAATCATGACATTCCTGATAACAAGGGTCTAAAATTGTCATGATATTTACGTTACTTCCTGACATTTTCGAACTAAATTTGGTTTTGGTGGTAGAGAAAAAAAAAAAAATAATAATAATTTCCTTTCTCTTTTTTGAAGTAAAGGAAATTTTGATTTGATCAAATATATATATATATATGTTTTTTTTTTGACTTTTGTTTCCAAATAAGCATGAATCTTTTTGTTTTCGGTTATGGTTGTTTTACGCAGAATGCGCAGTAAGCACGATAAATATTTTAATGATCATGACCAAATTTGGATTGAAGTTTCTATATGACATACATTTTTAGCAACAATAACGCTTTGTTTTTGTCATCCCAAATGGGCTAAAGGGGTTTCGGATTTGTCGAAATTTCGCTAGATCCAAGTGTATAAAAACATAGTTACCAACCATTCTTCTTGTGTAAATAAATAGTACACGATTGTTGGACGTTTATTTTTAATCAAGGCCCCGAAAAAAATAAAATAAAATAAAGAATGCATTTTCACAAGATAAAAGGATATATATATTAACATCTAAAAATAACAAAACTAATTTTTATGCGTATCAAATTTGGTATATGACCAATTTACAATTAAATGAACTTTTTTTTGGTTTTATTTAAAGATAAAAAAAATTAACTATTCCTTCTCGACAAGGCGATCAACTTACGTTTTTTTTGTAAGTGGTGTAAAAACTTCATGATCAGAGACATTCTACTGAAGAATTGTATTAAAAG